GTCCGGAAGCGTAAAGGTCTGGCGGATGCCTCGTGCACGACAGTAGGCTCGCAGAAGGCCAGAGGAGAACTCTCCACCTCGGTCAGAGTGCAGACGCAGAACAGGAAAGTCCGAGCCGAAGCTCCTCCTGAGCTGGAGACGAGCTGCGCGGATCCAGTCGATCAACACCTCAGTGACATCACCCTTGCTGCGCAAGGGGAAGACTGTGGTGTAACGCGAGTAGTCGTCAACCACCAGCAGGAAGTAGCGCTCGTGACCCTGCCCACGGACGCGGGCCGGGCCCCACACGTCCATGTGAAGCGTCTGCAGAGGAGCCTCTGTCGGGGGAAACTGGGAGGAGTGAGGGGCAGCCCGGAGCCGCCCCTCGACACAGGGGACACAGGAAGGTCCGGGTCCCGAAGGAAGGGGAGGGAGAGACCGGGGAAGACCAGAGACAAGGACACGGGAAGCCATGCCCCGAAGACGAGGCAAGGAGGGGTGGCCAAGACGGTGGTGCCACAGGAGAGTCTCCTGAGACAGGCGGCGACACGAGCAGGGGGCAGACTCAGGACCAGACCTGGACGCAGCAGCAAACACCTGACCCGACGCAGCTACCTGGCCAGACGCAGGGACAGGAGGAGACTCAGTGGTCAGGGTGTAGAGACTCGACCCCGGCCGACGCGAAAACGTGGCCAGGTGTCGGCCTGTGCGGGCGTCCGAGCAGTGGGTCACCCGCTGACTCGCAGGAGTAAACTGGTGAACCCCCGCATCCTGCAGGTCAGCACCACTCACCAAGTTCGTCGAGAGCGAGGGGAGGTACAGACCAGACAAGGTGCCCGAGGGGGCAGCCGGACACGGGAGGACAGTGGAGAAGTGAGAGAGGACAGGACCCCCAGAGGGGTCAGCCAGGGAGACCGCAACCGGCCGGCCAAGCGGCGTGAGTGTGGTGCGGTCTCGAAAGAAGGAGCGAGAAGCCCCTGAGTCAAGCGTGAAGGTGAGGGAGGCCGAAGCCGACGCAGTACCTGAGAGCGCAGCCTCACCAGTACCTGAGAGTGCAGACGCACTGGCACCTAGAGCAACAGCCGCAGAAGTACCTAGCGCAGCAGTACCAATGCCCGGGTCGGGCGGGAAACACCGGTAACAGTCACCCTCTTCACTAATAGTCACAGCATACATGGCAGCAAGGATAGCATCAAAGTCAAGATCAAAGATAGCTACGCCAGCCCTAGACAGCTCTCCCCAACGGGGAATCTCACTAGCCTCGGGGAACTGCTGACGCCAAGCGTCCGTCAGGCGGCCAAAGCAGCGCTGGGTGGGGTGGGCACCCCCACACTGCTCACCCGCGCGGTCGCCGGAACGAAGGACGTAGGTGCACGGACCAAAACCCCCACCCCGCTGACGCTGCGTGTACCACTCACGGAGCTGCTGGGGCGGGGGGATGTCCCGCGAACGCTGCTGCTGCTGACGCTGGCCACCACCAGAGCCGCTACGCTGCGGGGCACCACCCCGACCAGCTCCACCCCCTCCGCCACCGCCGCCTCCACCTCCACCACCACCGCTGCCTCCGCTCCCACCGCTGCCGCCACCACCGCCTCCTCCTCCGCTGCTGCCACCAGCCACCACCGCCCCCGCCACCACTCCCACCGCCACCCCCACTCCCTCCGCCGCCTCCACCGCCACCTCCACCGCCCCCGCCAGTTCCACCCGCGCCCTTGCCCCCCTTGCCCCTGCCAGGGCGGCGTCTCCCGCTAGGGGCAGACGCCGCGCAGACCGACTCAAGACCAAGCAGGTCGGCAGCAGCAGCAGAGGCAACAGAGGGCAGCAGGGGGGAAGGAGAACACCCCTCAAAGATGGGGGTGCGAGGGTCACCACGAGAGGCTCCTACAGCGACGATGCTCTTCTCCGCCGCCAGGAGGGACTTCTCGAGGAGGTCGATAGTGAGAGTGGTGGGACAGACTGAGAGGAAGTGGTCCCTGACTACGCGAAGGGAGTCAGGGAGGCGTGTGACTATGTAATAGAGAGTGATGTACATGGGGGGGGGGTTCTTGGCGCAGAACTCAGTAGGAAGGGCGGCGCGGTAGCGAGTGTCACTAGTGCGGAGGTGCGTAATGAGGTCAGCGACAGTGGGAAAGGCAGCAAGGTCAGGAAAGAGGTACGGTAGCATAAGGCGGCTCAGGGCAGCAGTGGCAGGGGAAGAGTAGCGCGCAACTACAGCGTCGTACAAGGTCTGAGCACTCTTGTACTGACTAAAGTGCGCGCGCTCAGTGGTAGGCAGGTGGCGACGCACAGCAAGACGTGCAGCAGCATCGCGGGTGGCCCACTGAGAGCGAACAGTGGGGTCAGCATCAGCAGTAGGGGCAGGAGAGGCGCCAGAGGTGAGGTCAAAGAGGGAAAGACCGTCCGCCCTATCGCACTGTAAGAACAGCTGCAGGTCGTCGACCCAGACCTCAAAGTCAATGGCTCGACCCTCAGCGTCAAAAGCGAGGACACTAGGGGTAGCCATGACGACGACAGTGTAGTAGTGCAAGCAGTAGGGGAAGGGCACGCAGTAACAGTGGTGCTGTGCTCACCAGGCAGGGCAGGTCGGGCGGCTCGGCAGTAGGGCGGCCCGGCGGCTGGGCGGCTCGGCGGCTCGGCTGCTGGGCGGCTCGGCTCCCGGGCGGCTCGGCGGCAGGGCGGCTCGGCGGCAGGGCGGCTCGGCGGCAGGGCGGCTCGGCGGCTCGGCTGCTGGGCGGCTGGGCGGCTCGGCGGCAGGGCGGCTCGGCGGTCGTAGGCGGCGGGGCCGGTGAGGATAGGCGGCGGGGCCGGTACCGTAGGCGACGGGGCCGCGAAGTGGGGCGGCGGGGCCGCGTAGGTGAGGGCGGCGGGGCCGCGAAGTGAGGGCGGCGGGGCCGCGACGTGAGGGCGGCGGGGCCGCGAAGGTGAGGGCGGCGGGGCCGCGTAGGCAAGGGCGGCGAGGCCGCGACGTGAGGGCGGCGGGGCCGCGACGTGAGGGCGGCGGGGCCGCGTAGGTGAGGGCGGCGGGGCCGCGTAGGCAAGGGCGGTGGAGCCGCGACGTGAGGGCGGCGGGGCCGCGACGTGAGGGCGACGGGGCCGCGACTTAAGGGCGGCGGGGCCGCGTAGGTGAGGGCGGCGGGGCCGCGACGTGAGGGCGGCGGGGTCGCGACGTGAGGGCGGCGGGGCCGCGTAGGCAAGGGCGACGGGGCCGCGACGTGAGGGCGGCGGGGCCGCGACGTGAGGGCGGCGGGGCCGCGACTTAAGGGCGGCGGGGCCGCGTAGGTGAGGGCGGCGGGGCCGCGACGTGAGGGCGGGCTCGCGTAGGTAAGGGCGGCGCAACGGGCCGCTAGGGGCGACACGGAGGGTCGCTAAAAAAATGGAAAGCGCGCCTCGGGGCGCGCTTCGGTGGGCCCTAGAAACAGTCCCTAGGAGGGGACCTGCTCTGATTCCATGTGGAAAGAAGAACGCGAATGAATGAACTATGAATGAAGTGGGTACATATAGGAAACCCTAATTGGGTTGTACCCCCTATGTGATACCCCACTATAGCCTACACAACAGCATAAGCTATATAATGTTCTGACACTATAGTGGGGTAGCACATATGGGGTACAGTTGCCTAGGATTTGCCTTTTGTACCCAACTTTCACTTAGTCATTTCATTCCTGTTTTCTTGATTCACAACCCCCTTTACTTTTTTCATCAATCACTTATTCAATATCTTCATTTTAGTTAATCTTTCATTTTCTTTTCATGTTTTTATCATTTTTCTTTCAAGTTTATGATTATCTTATCTTTAACCTTCTCATTAAAAGCATTTACATTCTAAATCAATCTCTACTTCAAGAGTTTCTTTATCTTATCACCTTTGTCTTGTTTCAACCTTAACAAGGTATTTTCTTTCTACTTGCTATTTACCCTTTCTCATCCTTTACTAATTTTCAAGACCAATGGCATATGAAGCAACCCCCCCAGAGCCAACCCTGAAGGTACAGTGCTTCGCGGAGTTCACGGAGCCACTTCGTCAAACGTCTCAGGATCCTCTTCCTTATTCCCACGGTTTTGACGCCAGCTGGATTTACCACATTCGTCTTTGAGATTGCAGATGACATTTGTTTCTCTGCAATGGAGATATTTCTGCTTGCCGCATTTGCTTCCTTGAAACGGGTCAATCGAAACCTAGTTTTTTTTCTGGGCAATCACAGCCCAAACCTGAAAAACTTGCAGTATGTCCATAAAGTTAGGGGATGAAGCCATCGGATAGGAGTCACGCCGGATTCTCAGGGAAGTGCATTATATATTTGCTGTCTATGCTGCCCGCATTTACCACGAGCAATCCTGCCACAAGTTGACGCTGGTTCGTGCGAATCACATGCAAATCACGCGGGGCATAAGAACTCAGAAACTGATTCGGCTGACGTGAGGTTTTGGAAGTATCATTCCTTTTGGTTAAATATCTCCCCCAAGTTTGTGGTTCGTCCTCCAAGTGCATGCTCGATGTTGCAAAACCGGCCACACGGAGCAGACAGCGGATCTGGGCTTGTTGAGAGATATTTTCCCGCGTGCCGTGTCTGGGCGCCACTGGTCAAACTGCCACGCCGCCAGAATCAATGGGCTCTCCCAAATCTTACCCCCACCCCCCCCCCCCCCAAACCCACACACCTCCACCTCTGCCACACATCCTCCTCGTCGCTTCTTGGTCAGGAGGACTCAGGCTGGTCCGCACCCCACGCCCTTCCGCTCCGCCTATTTTCCCCTCCCCCCCAGCACCGCCTTTTTCGTGCGCATTTTGTACAGCTGTTCTGGCCACTCGTCGTTCCAGAAAAGTGAACCAATCTGACCTGGCACCAAAGGCACGGAAGGCCAATCAGTTCCAACCGCGTAAATATCTTTCGTAGACAATTTCTTCCTGATTGCACAGTTCACCAGCAGCGTGCCTTGCCATCCGCGCCGTGTTGGTTGAATCGGGTGACTCACATCTCACGCCTTCCAGACAATCAGGAATCAGGTCGCGCGCACGACGAATGGTGGCTGGCTACTGCTGTACTGTTGTCTCTATGGCGCCCCCTTCCCCTTGCTCGCTTTTCCCTCCTCCCCCTGTATCTTGGCTTCAACCACCACTCGCACAGCCACCGCCACTTGAACAGAATACCCTTGTTCCTCCAATGTTATCTTGTGCTCAGGCTGTCCGAGTATGGATCAATGAATAAGCGTTCACAATATACTGTATTGGCAAACGTAGACACAATATACTGTCGTCTCACTGCGTTAAACTTATTTTTTTCACGCTTCTCGGTGGTCAACCTGTTTCGTAGGTTCCAGCAAGCACTCGCTCTCAGCCATTGCTCGACTGAAGAACGAGGCCGAAATGGCACCGCCTGACTCGCCGCGCTCCGTCGCGCCGACAACAAACGCCTGTTACCTCGCTCACGAGGTGCGCCCGTTAATGCTCATTAGGAACGGCACGCGATGCATCTTAAATCTCGACAGACGATGCCTTGATATACTCGGCGTTCTGTGTTTTGTCAGCGAGCGCGAATCAAGTCTTGGAGTTACATGAGTCTCCCATGCCTCGTGCTGTCACTTTGTTACTATCAAACACCCCTCACAAGTCTCCATCGTTACGCTCTCCTTCCTCTCTCACGCGCCGCCTTCCACGCGAGTCACGCACGTGTCATTCTCGTTTGAACCATCTTGTGCCCTCGTTTCTCGGACTCGCCGCCGCATCTGTGCCTCTAACGCTCTTCTTTCCCCCTCACTTCCTTTTCCGCCTCCCGCTTCCGCCCGTCTCTTCCGCGTCTCCCTTCAGGTGCCTCGATGGATCGCGTCGCATTCAACCGCACCTGCTACAGTGCCAGTCATTCCCGCCGCAATAGCTGCTGCGACTCCGTTCCCCTTCCTTCCCGCTGCGCTCAAGCCGCTCCCGTTCTCCGCGCTACCCACCGCCGCCACCGCCGCGACAGCCGCGACCACGCTGGCTCCCCTCACGACCTCCCTTCCGCTTTCCCCCCCGTCTTCCGCCCACCTTCCACCTCCGCCATTCTCAAATCTCCCCTCATCCGGGTCCGCGCATACGTTTCTCCGCCCACGCGCATCTTACGCCGTCGAGCGCGCCGTTCCCGATGCGGACAACCCATTTTCAACCTTCCCCTTCTCCACGCAACAGCCAGGAAGCTTCATCTGCCACCCGTCCCCGTTCTTCCCGGGATATCCCCCGCCGCTTCCGCCGACCCTTCTTGCCGCCGCATCCGCGGATTCCGCCTCCACCACCGCCGCCGCCGCCGCTGCCGCCGCCTTACCGTCATTTTCCGATGCGTCCCCTATGCTTGTGAGGCCGCGACCTCGCAACGCGACGGTCGCGCTGCCGCTAGTCATTCCCGGCCAATCAGATGCTCGCAGGATGTTCGATGAGTCCGATGATGATGCCGCAGCTCACGGCGCGAATCCCGCCGCATTCGACGGCGCGGATCCCGCGGAGGTTGCCGCTGCTGCCGCCGGCGCCGAGCTGGGCGCGCGCGAGCTCGCCGCGATTCGCGCGGTGATTTTGCGACACGAAGCCGCGTTCCGAGAGCAAGTCGCGGAGCTGCACGCGATTTGCGGCGTGCAACGCGGGCTGATGGCGGCGACGGTGACTCATCCCTCCGACGACGCACCGCGTACCGCGGCGACAGACGCGGCGGGGCAAGAGGCAGCGAGGAGCGAGAAGGAAGCAGGGAACGACGATATGGGGGGAGAATCGAGAGGCGCGGATGTGGGGGGAGATGGCGGAGTGCGGGCAAATATGGCTGAACAGGATAACCAGCGGCAAGGAACGGCCAACCGCGCGGGAATGCTTCTCTTCGATTTGGAGCAGCTTCCTGGAAACGACGAGGGGGAGGTGGCGGCGGAGGAGGAGAATGGGAACTCGTGCGTTCGAGACGCACGCGCTTCGTCGATTGCGTCACCTGCACCGTTCCTAGCTGTTGCGCCTGCGCGCACGCCATCGTCTTCCGCTGTCCTCACGACCCCGCTCGCGCACTCCGCCATCAGAGTTCCGCCTCCGCCTGTCCTCGCGCCAGCTGCTGCAACATGTTCCGCGGACTCGAGCGCGGGCAGTCACGCGGGGCGTTGTCGCGGAGGAAGTCGGAAGAGACAAACCCCGTGCGATAACAACGCGGCCAATGGGCGGAAGGCGGAAAGCTGTGGCGCGCACGGGGCGCCTGCGGAGAGCGACGCCACGTCAGCATCGGGCGCGTTGGACACGCATGGTAACAGCACGCCACGTCAGCGTGTTGCGAAGAAGCAGAAGCGGGAAGGCGGAGGGGGAAGCGGAAGGGGCGGAGGGGGCGGAAAGGGCGGAACGAAAGGGAGAGGAGGAGCCGGAGGAGGGGGAGGTAGTATCTTGACAGGCAGATCTGCTGGCCCTCCGTCCCCGCAAATCTCCCATTCACATAACACCTCCCCCAGTATCGCCTCTCCTTGTTATCCCTCCAAGGCCTCCCTTTCGCCTGCTCTGCCGGCTGTTGTTGCAGCCCAGCCGTCACAGCCGCCACAGCAGCAATATCACCTGCCTGGACTGCCGAGTTCTCTTCTCAACCACCACTCTCCCCTCACTCCGTCCACGCCCTCCTCCCTTCCACCGTCCGCCCTTACCTTCCACCCGTCATTCCCCTTCCCCTCTGCCTTCACACCTCCGTTCCCTCCTCCGGCACCCCCTTCCAATCTCGCCTCCCCCTCCACCCCACCACCCCTCTGGTCCTACCCATACCCACCTGCGGCACCAGCACCCGCAGCAGCAGCGTCAGCAGCAGACGTGGCATCAGCAGCAGCAGCAGCATCACCAGCAGCGGCAGCGGCGGCAGCAGCAGCAAACGCCAGCAGTCTCTTTCCTGGCGGCTCTTCCTTCATTGGCTGTGCTTCTGGCGCCGCTGCTACGATGGCTGCCAGCACCGCTGCAGCAATGAGCGGCACAGCTGCTGCTGCCACCGCAGCAGCTGCTGCTGCTGGAGGGACGTTTGTCCCTGGGATAGCGTCGCCGCTGTATGCTTCGCCCATGTCTTCCAGTTATGGCATGCATTCCATTTCTGGCATGCCTGCACTCCCTGGAATGCCTTCTTACCCCGGCGGACCCGCTTCCGGAATGTTTTCTATTCCGGGCATGACTTCCTTTTCAGGAATGCATTCCTTTTCAAGCCTGCCTTCTTTTTCAGGAATGGCTTCCAATTCCGGAATGCCTTCTATTTCCGGAATGCCTTCCTTTTCGGGTATGCCGTATTCCTCAGCAGCACCGGGTGCAGGCTACCTCCATCCAGCCATGCTCGGCTCATTCCCACCGCCCCAACCTGCACCCTACCGCCTCCCACTCCCTGGCACCACGCTCAACCAACCTGCCATGATGTTACAACCAACCGGCGCAGCAGGGGGGGGAGCAGGGGGGAGGCGGGCGGGGGGGAGTGCAGGAGGACATGGGGACGTTCACGCAGGGTTCAAAAAACCCCCTCCGCTGGTGCTGGTGAGGGATGGCAGCAGCAAGCAGCAGCGCCTGCTGCCGCCTGATCAAGCAGCCAAGGCGTTCCCGGGTTACAGTCACGAGCCGACACCAGGCAGACGGCAGAAGCAGCAGCTGCCGGGGCAAGGGAGCGTTGCAAGCCCTCGTGGAGGAGATGGGGCAGCAGGTGCTGCTGGTGCTTCCGCTGCAGCCAGCAGGCAGAAGCAACAGCAGCAGCTGATGCTGCAGCAGGGCGGTGTGTCTGCGCCTGTGCGCAAGCATGTGGGGTCTTCTAGGGATGAAGGGAACGGCGTGGAGCAGCTGGGTGGTGGTGATGATGTGATGGAGGGGACGAGTGGAGGCAGTGCGAGTGTGGAGAATGGCGAGTCGGGAGATGAGGGAGAGGCGGTGGTGGACCCTGTAGGGCTTCCAGAGGCAGCTGGTTGTTTGGGTTGAGGGTGATAGTGCAAGGGAAGCAGTTTCTCTGACCCTGCTTGGACAGAAGCTGCTTTCGAATACTTATAAACCGAGTTGAGAAACCTATGTACAAAATTTATTTTGCCTTGGTGTTTGTGTTAGGCAGATATTCGTTTTTGGAACGGGAACATGATATTGTATCTGTTTTGGTACCCTAGCATATCATATTCCATGCTTGCATTGGTTTGTGGAAAAACCTTAACAACCACTTCGAAATCACTTGAACCTGGAGACGAAGGGGGATTCATGGAAGAGGACCTTATCGGCAGTGAAGCGGCCCAGCCACGTGCACCAGTAACTTTCCTCGCTTTTCCCTCTGTACTCCTGCCAAATTTCCTGTAATCGTTTCGAGTTGCCACGTGGACACATTTGCGCCCGCGCGGACCAGGCGAGAGAAAAAGCATACCTCGATAAAAGAGCATGAACCTTGGAGGAGTGGATGCTGCATTTGTGGCTGGAGACTTCGCTAATTTCATGCGGTGCAGTTCGGTTCGCTACATATCTGCAAGGTACAGAAGTTGGAGACCGCGTCGAATCTTCTGATGACATTCCCCAGACCCAATCCACTCATCCCTCGATACTCCCTCCACCCCAGCAAAGAACGCTTTTGCCTGGCTTTGCTGCAAGGCCTCCCTCTCACCGAATACGACCAACTAAGGAAGTAAGGAACTGAATTCTGCCGACCATGGCCATGGCGCAGCGGTCGCTACAGTCGCTGGAGTTCAGCCAGCTCAGGCGCGTCGACGGGCTGCCGTCAGGCCTCAAAACGCCCAGCGCGAGCGGGAATGGCGTCGTGTCGCTGATTCCCGGGTCGCAGCAGAATCAAGTGCGCGTGAAGGGCAAGGCCCGGGTGAACAACGGCTTCGCGTGCCGTGCCTCGGGGGGCGTTGTTGAGCTCGAGCCCGCTTCCCCCGGCAGTCCGATTCTCGGTGCGTGTAGCGAGTACGCCAACCAAACGGCGTCAATTTATGTCTCTCTCCCCCTCCTCCCCCGCTCCCCCCCCTCTTCCTTTTTTCTCTCGCCACTAGGCGTAGGTTCTCGCATTCAGTTCTTATTATTGGTTCATGGTGTGCTGTGTGCGGCACGGTTAGTTCTCAGTCGATCACGTACCACATTCGACCAACCAAGCGAGGAATAGGGTACTGGTGCATATGACATTTAGGCTTGAAGAATAGATGGGCGTCGAAAGTACTGCCCACACGCCGACGCGGCTGATCGTTATGGGCTGTAGGAAAAGCTCACGACTTATGGTGTGAACCTTCGCTTTGCGTGGACTACAAGGCTCATTTCTTCGCGAACTACCTTCTCGCAGGACCTGTCTCTGGCTCCGGCAGTCAAGCCAAACCGAATTGGTACACATGCTACTCTCCAACATATCGTTAGTAGAAACTCGGAATTGGATCATCGTAGCTAAGCGATTGGGAATCTCGTTGCTAACCCCGTGAGCAGTGCCTCGGCTACACTACGCGGACTCGGTGTCGAAGACTTTTGAGTCGACTCAAAAGTCAACTCATTTGAGCACCTCCGCATGCATATTACTGGTAGTCAACCAATTAATGTCGCCTGGCTGACTCCGTGAGCAGTGCCTCGGCTACAGTACGCGGACTCGGTGTCGAAGACCGTTCGGCGCAAGACGCGCACGGTGATGGTGGGCAACGTGGCGGTCGGCAGCGACCACCCCATCCGCGTGCAGACCATGACCACCTCCGACACCAAGAACGTGCAGGCCACTGTCGAGGAGGTATGAGAGGTGAAAACATTTGTATCGAATTGTTTTGTATCGTGTGTGGTTAGGATATTAGAGGTGGGCAGCGGCCACCCCATCCGCGTGCAGACGATGACCACCTCCGACACCAAGCAGGTCACTGTTGAAGAGGTGAGTTGCGCTGCTGTTGTTCGTATCGAATCGCCTATAACGCGTACGATAAGGAGATTGGAGGTCGACTTCGACCGAGTATTTGCGAGCATGTGACGGGTAATGGCCGTGACGGGAATGCCTACTGTAGCTCTTCTCAGCGGTCGGTTACGATCATCCTCACTTGCGTCGAGATTTGGCTCGTGACTTTTTTTTTTCGCACTTTGTATCTTCTTAAATTAAAAAAGGGTACTACAGTGGTTTTGAGCTCGAACCTTAACGTTCTCTCCGCGTCACTCCCTGCACGCTCCTTCCATCTCCCCCCACCCATCTCCCGCATCTTCTCGTGTGACTAGGTGATGCGCATCGCGGATCGCGGCGCGGAGATCTGCCGTATCACGGTGCAGGGGCGCAAGGAGGCGGAGGCGTGCGAGCAGATCAAGAACAAGCTCGTGCAGGCCAAGTGAGTGCGGTGCAGTGCGGTGCGGTGCAGGCCAAGTGAGTGCGGTGCAGTGCGGTGCGGTGCAGTACGGTGCGGTGCAGTCCAAGTGAGTGTGACTAGCGAGTCGAACGCGGGGCCATGAGTTGAAGGGACTTGCAGGGCGTGGGAAGGGGGATGGTTTGTGACGGAAACGGGTATTGGGAAGAGCTTGGCAGAGAGAGAGAGAGAGAGTTCGACGGGTGTTGGGCAACAGATAAATAAAGTGAACTCTTTACGCACATGCCCTCCTCTGTCTCCCTTGTGCGCCTGCCCTCGTCTGTCTCCCCGTGCGCCCATCCCATCCACCAACGCGATTTGTTCGCACCAACAATGGATGTCATATTCTCACACTCGATTCCTCGCCTTCCAACCCCATTTCTTGTCCACCCATTCTCTCTCTGTCCTCTGGATATCATTCTCCTCTAACGCTGTCCTCTCGCCCCTTGCCCTCTCCGCGTGCCACCTCCCTATTCCTCCCCTTCATCCCGTTCCCACCCCCCTCAACCCCTCCGCAGCTACAACAATCCGCTGGTGGCGGACATTCACTTTGCGCCCACCATCGCGCTGCGCGTGGCGGACTGCTTTGACAAGATCCGCATCAACCCCGGCAACTACGGTAACCTTCCCCCTTCCCTGCCTCCGCCCCTTACCCTTGACCCCGCCCCTGCCGCTGCCCCTGCTCCTGCCGCTGCCCCTGCCGCTGCCCCTGCCCCTGCCCCTGCCCCTGCCCCTGCCCCTGCCATACTTGCATGCTATTGCTCCATTCTTGCGCACACATTTGCTCGCATTGCTGACTGGCACGTTCACACTCCCATCCCCTTTGCTGTCACGTTCTGCGCTTGCCTCTGGCCCAACTGCAGCGGACACGCGCGCGGTGTTCAAGACGGTGGAGTACACGGATGAGAGCTACCAGCAGGAGCTGGAGCACATTGACGAGGTGAGGTGGCGAGACAGAGAAGGAGAGTCGAACTGACTGACGAGACGGAAAAGCAGCAGCGGGTGTAGTGTGGGGAGGAGAGGATGCATGAGAGGTGGTCGGGAGCAACGGCGACGACACGGAGGAGAGGTGGCAGTCAGCAGGAGCCGGTGCACACCGACGAGATGAGGTGGCGGGACAAAGAGTGGATAGATGATCGAGCAACGCAGAAGCAGAAATGGATAATGAGACGAGTGTAGAGGACGCATGGTTGAGGCCAGACCAGTACACGGACGAGGGTTACCAGCAGGGGCTGGCGCACCCCGAGGTGAGGGCGTGGATTATCAAGCGATGCAAAGACAGGCGGGGCGGGCGCATATGTAGTGTGAGGAGGAAGAGGGCGCGAGACAGAGGGTGTAGGCTATATTGCTGGAGCACGACTAGGAGGTGCAGCAGAGGGTTAGATTCAAGACAGCAGGCACAGCGGGAGCACGCGAAGGAGAGGGATGGGACGAGAGGATGCGTGTGAGGGGGGCGGATGGATCACAGACGGATAGGAGGTGCGAGCAGGAGGACGAGGGGCGGGTGGAGTGCATGGGGGTGCGAAGGAGGTATGAGGAGGAGGATCAGTGCGTTGAGAGTTAGGGGCTGGAAATGCGCGTGGGGTGTTGGAAAGGGGGATGGGAGGAAAGAGACATTCGTGGTGGGAAGTTTGGTTGTGGAGGAGAGTGCAGGACGAGGGGCGAGAATGCATCCCACACGCTCACGTGCATGCCTCATGGCCTCATGTGTGTTCCTGTGCGGCCATGGCCCACCCATGTGCGTCCTTGTCCATTCATCTGCCATCATTCACACGAGTGCAGGTGTTCTCCAAGCTCGTGCTCAAGTGCAAGCAGCTGGGGCGGGCCATGCGCATCGGCACCAACCACGGCAGCCTGTCCGATCGCATCATGAGCTACTATGGCGACTCGCCACGTGGCATGGTGAGTCAGCACATGTTAAACGGCGAGTCTGCACTGGGGGGATGGCATGTGTGCTCTTGAGTTAGCTAGCACGCATCTGCTGCTGCAACCATGCATGACTCTCTCCCACGACTTGTTTTCTTCCATGAAGTTCCATGCAGCCCATCAACCTTTCCCCACTCTACTGAACCGGATTCCACCCCACACTCTGTACTTCACCCCTTTGTCACAGGTGGAGTCAGCCCTTGAGTTCGCCTGCATCTGCCGCAAGCACGACTGCCACAAACTTCGTCTTCTCCATGAAGGCCAGCCCAGCAACCCCTCACAACCTCTGTGAACCACATTCCACCCCACTGTGCCCCTTGAACTCAGGTTGAATCAGCCCTTGAGTTCGCGCGCATCTGTCGCAAGCACGACTACCACAACTTCGTCTTCTCCATGAAGGCCAGCAACCCCGTCGTCATGGTCGCCGCCTACCGCCTGCTGGCCGCGCAGCTCAGGAGTGCGGGCCCCGATTGGAACTACCCGCTGCACCTGGGGGTCACGGAGGCCGGGGAGGGCGAGGACGGACGCATGAAGTCTGCCATTGGCATTGGCGCGCTGCTGCAGGTGAGCTGCTCGCTGCTGCCGCTGGTACTGGTGCACGCAGGTGGGAGGTTTGGGGTGGGGTGTGGTGGGGAGGGGTCTACCTATTATTGGCATTGGCGCGCTGCTGCAGGTGAGAGGGGGGGGGGAGAGGGGGATGTAAGACTGGAGGCAGGCGCCGAGGATGTGCTATTTTTTTTCGCCCTCGCCCTCCTTCACCCCCAATGGTCACTGTCTCTGCCCCCAGTGCCGCTCACTGAGCATTTTGTGTCCACCCTGTGCACCCCGCCCTTCCCCACGCGCCCTTTCCCACCCCGACCCTCCCCACCCGTTCTAACTCCGCCCCTCCCCTCCCCGCCCTTACCCACTCCGCCCTTCCCCTCCCCGTCCAATCCCCTCCTCGTCACTTCCCCTCCTCGTCCCTTCCCCTCCCCGTCCCTTCCCCTCCCCACATGACGGGCTGGAAGCTCCATCCGAGTGCCTGAACGGACCTCCCCTTGTCCCCCCCCTTCCCGCCTCCCCCACTCGCCCCCCGTGCCCCTCCCCGTCCCTCAAATACCCCCATCAGGACGGGCTGGGCGACACCATCCGAGTGTCGTTCACAGAGGCCGTTTAAAGGTTCCTTCTCAATCACATATCACGCCTCTCCCCTCGCCTTCCTCCCCCCCATCAGGACGGGCTGGGTGACACCATCCGAGTGTCGCTCACAGAGGCTCCTGAGGAGGAGATTGAGCCGTGCTCTGCTCTCGCTAACTACGGCATGCGCGCCGCCAAGCTCGGCAAGGGCGTGGTGAGTCTCAACGAGTGGTCCAGATTTGTATGGCGAGATGGAGCTGTGCTCTCTGCGCTGCGCTCTCTAACAAAGGGCGTGGAGAGTTCCCATGAGTGGTCCAGATTCGTTCATCTGAGCATGGTCATGGTGAGGCTCGTGCAGCAGATGCAATCGAGCCGTGCTCTGCACTCGAGGTGACCTTTGAGTTGACTCAAAAGTCACCTCATTTGAGCACATGGTAATGGTGAGGCACCCTCAGCAGATCAAATCACTTGTCAAATCGACAGGTGCTCTGCACTTGCTAACTATGGCATGCACGCTGCCTAGCTGGGCAAGGGTGTGGTGAGTGTGGTTAGAGCAAGCGGTCGAGATTCAATCTTAGTTCAAACGAGTGGATGAGCATGTGCTGACCAGCGCGGGCACTGGAAAAGAAACATCACTATTGCACTGGACACTGCTTCACAATCACTGCATGCTGGCTCAAATGCATCTAAAAGGAACAGAATATCAAAGAGCTAGCCTTTGTTATTCTTCACCCCTCTCTGCCCCTCTCCGCCCTGCTCTGTCAACAGGAGGACTTTGAGGAGAAGCACCGCAGCTACTTTGAGTTCTCCCGCCGCTCCGGCCAGCTGCCTCTGCAGAAGGAGGTGCGTCTCGCTTTGAATGCCGTGCGCCCTGCCTGCCTGCCTTGCCCTCGACTCACCTCCATGTCAACCGCTTCTACTCCCAGCAGCATGTCATCCTGTCCCCCCACTTTGCCCTCTCCTTAACTTCTGTGCGTCCGCAAAAAGGGGTCTTTCGTTGCTGCTTCCTTCATTTCTTCCCCTCCTTCCTTTCTTCCCCTCCTTTCCTCCTCTCCTCTTCTCCTCCCCTCCTCTCCACCCATCCTCTCACCAGGGAGACGCCATTGACTTCAGGGGGATGCTGCACCGCGATGGCTCTGTGCTCATGTCCGTCGATGCTGCCATGCTCAAGGTGCGATGAACATGCTATGCTGGTGATTTCCTGTGTCTCCTGGGAGGGAGCAAGAGCATACATCACTCCAGCTTGATTCTTTTTTCCAGAGTGTAAGCCTTTTCGTTTTTTTGTTTGCCTGACTTTCTTTCACCCCTCCGTTCTTTCTTTCCCGTTTTGTTCTTTTGTTGCTTCCTTTTGCGTTGCTTTGCTTGGTGCGAATCTTCTCATTCCTCGCTTCTCTCAACACACCAGAACCCCGAGGCGCTCTACCGCGCTCTCGCGTGCAAGATGGCTGTCGGCATGCCCTTCAAGGTGCACACCTCCCCACCTCCATTCCACTCCCATCTCCCCCTCCCTCACTCACTCCCTCCCTCTTGCACTCTTGCTTCTCTCCCCCTTCCTCCACCTACTCCTTTGCTCATTCCATCCAACCTCAATCCCGCCCACTCTCCACCCCTCTGAACATCTGTCATTCCTTCCCCATTAAACAGCATGTTCTCTTGTCTCAGCACAGCACGGCTCCCAATCCCTCTGTACCTCTCTCCACCCTCCCCCGTCCTCACCTCAGGATCTGACCACAGTGTATAGCATTCACTTTTTGTTCTCCTCAACACCTCTCTCAACCACTCTCCATCCCTCCCCCTCACAGGATCTGGCAACTGTGGACAGCATTCTGCTCCGCCAGGCCCCATCTGCTGACGACAAGGAAGCTGTGAGTGGGGATTTTATTTGATCCGATCAGCTGCAAGTGAAGATTTGATTTTATCAGATCAGTTGTGGGTGGGGGTCTGATCACATCAACTTGGGGTGGGAGTCAATCAAGTCTTTGGTAGTCCCGGCCTGAGGGTGGCAGTGATGAGAGCCGTTGCAAGTGCGTGTCATATGAGAGCAGTCCAGCCAACGTGCTGCCTGCTGTGCAGTGTGTGCTGCATGTCAGCACCGCACTGCTGATGATTTCACAGCAGCCTTTGATGATTCCAGTCTGAGCCACTCTGCTCTGGATGTGATGTGATGACGACCCTTGGTGATCCTCCATCACCTTGATTTATCCTCCCCTCCCATCGCTCCCTCCCCTCCCTCCCTCCATCGCTCCCTCCCCTCCCATCGCTCCCTCCCCTCCCATCGCTCCCTCCCCTCCCATCGCTCCCTCCCCTCCCATCGCTCCCTCCCCTCCCATCGCTCCTCCCTCCCATCGCTCCTCCCTCCATCGCTCCCTCCCCTCTCATCGCTCCCTCCCCTCTCATCGCTCCCTCCCCTCTCATCGCTCCCTCCCCTCCCATCGCTCCCTCCCCTCCCATCGCTCCCTCCCCTCCCATCGCTCCCTCCCCTCCCATCGCTCCCTCCCCTCTCATCGCTCCCTCCCCTCCCATCGCTCCCTCCCCTCCCATCGCTCCCTCCCCTCCCATCGCTCCCTCCCCTCCCATCGCTCCCTCCCCTCTCATCGCTCCCTCCCCTCCCATCGCTCCCTCCCCTCTCATCGCTCCCTCCCCTCTCATCGCTCCCTCCCCTCTCATCGCTCCCTCCCCTCCCATCGCTCCCTCCCCTCCCATCGCTCCCTCCCCTCCCATCGCTCCCTCCCCTCTCATCGCTCCCTCCCCTCCCATCGCTCCCTCCCCTCCCATCGCTCCCTCCCCTCCCATCGCTCCCTCCCCTCTCATCGCTCCCTCCCCTCCCATCGCTCCCTCCCCTCTCATCGCTCCCTCCCCTCCCATCGCTCCCTCCCCTCCCATCGCTCCCTCCCCTCCCATCGCTCCCTCCCCTCCCATCGCTCCCTCCCCTCCCATCGCTCCCTCCCCTCTCATCGCTCCCTCCCCTCTCATCGCTCCCTCCCCTCTCATCGCTCCCTCCCCTCTCATCGCTCCCTCCCCTCCCATCGCTCCCTCCCCTCCCATCGCTCCCTCCCCTCTCATCGCTCCCTCCCCTCCCATCGCTCCCTCCCCTCTCATCGCTCCCTCCCCTCCCATCACTCCCTCCCCTCCCATCGCTCCCTCCCCTCCCATCGCTCCCTCCCCTCCCATCGCTCCCTCCCCTCCCATCGCTCCCTCCCCTCCCATCGCTCCCTCCCCTCCCATCGCTCCCTCCCCTCTCATCGCTCCCTCCCCTCCCATCGCTCCCTCCCCTCCCATCGCTCCCTCCCCTCCCATCGCTCCCTCACCTCCCATCGCTCCCTCCCCTCTTATCGCTCCCTCCCCTCCCATCGCTCCCTCCCCTCCCATCGCTCCCTCCCCTCCCATCGCTCCCTCCCCTCCCATCGCTCCCTCCCCTCCCATCGCTCCCTCCCCTCTCATCGCTCCCTCCCCTCCCATCGCTCCCTCCCCTCTCATCGCTCCCTCCCCTCCCATCCCTCCCTCCCCTCCCATCGCTCCCTCCCCTCCCATCGCTCCCTCCCCTCCCATCGCTCCCTCCCCTCCCATCGCTCCCTCCCCTCTCATCGCTCCCTCCCCTCTCATCGCTCCCTCCCCTCTCATCGCTCCCTCCCCTCTCATCGCTCCCTCCCCTCCCATCGCTCCCTCCCCTCCCATCGCTCCCTCCCCTCCCATCGCTCCCTCCCCTCCCATCGCTCCCTCCCCTCCCATCGCTCCCTCCCCTCCCATCGCTCCCTCCCCTCCCATCGCTCCCTCCCCTCCCATCGCTCCCTCCCCTCTCATCGCTCCCTCCCCTCCCATCCCCTCCCATCGCTCCCTCCCCTCCCATCGCTCCCTCCCCTCCCATCGCTCCCTCCCCTCTCCATCGCTCCCTCCCCTCCCATCGCTCCCTCCCCTCCCATCGCTCCCTCCCCTCCCATCGCTCCTCCCCTCCCATCGCTCCTCCCCTCTCATCGCTCCCTCCCCCTCCCATCGCTCCCTCCCCTCCCATCGCTCCCTCCCCTCCCATCGCTCCTCCCCTCTCATCGCTCCCTCCCCTCCCATCGCTCCCTCCCCTCTCATCGCTCCCTCCCCTCCCATCGCTCCCTCCCTCCCATCGCTCCCTCCCCTCCCATCGCTCCCTCCCCTCCCATCGCTCCCTCCCCTCCCATCGCTCCCTCCCCTCCTCATCGCTCCCTCCCCTCTCATCGCTCCCTCCCCTCTCATCGCTCCCTCCCCTCTCATCGCTCCCTCCCCTCTCATCGCTCCCTCCCCTCTCATCGCTCCCTCCCCTCCCATCGCTCCCTCCCCTCCCATCGCTCCCTCCCCTCCCATCGCTCCCTCCCCTCCCATCGCTCCCTCCCCTCCCATCGCTCCCTCCCCTCCCATCGCTCCCTCCCTCCCATCGCTCCCTCCCCTCCCATCGCTCCCTCCCCTCTCATCGCTCCCTCCCCTCCCATCGCTCCCTCCCCTCCCATCGCTCCCTCCCCTCTCATCGCTCCCTCCCTCTCATCGCTCCCTCCCCTCCCATCACTCCCTCCCCTCCCATCGCTCCCTCCCCTCCCATCGCTCCCTCCCCTCCCATCGCTCCCTCCCCTCCATCGCTCCCTCCCCTCCCATTGCTCCCTCCCCTCTCATCGCTCCCTCCCCTCCCATCACTTCCCTCCCCTCCCATCGCTCCCTCCCCTCCCATCGCTCCCTCCCCTCCCATCGCTCCCTCCCCTCCCATCGCTCCCTCCCCTCTCATCGCTCCCTCCCCTCTCATCGCTCCCTCCCCTCTCATCGCTCCCTCCCCTCTCATCGCTCCCATCCCCTCCCATCGCTCCCTCCCCTCCCATCGCTCCCTCCCCTCCCATCGCTCCCTCCCCTCCCATCGCTCCCTCCCCTCCCATCGCTCCCTCCCCTCCCATCGCTCCCTCCCCTCCCATCGCTCCCTCCCCTCCCATCGCTCCCTCCCCTCTCATCGCTCCCTCCCCTCCCATCGCTCCCTCCCCTCCCATCGCTCCCTCCCCTCCCATCGCTCCCTCACCTCCCATCGCTCCCTCCCCTCTTATCGCTCCCTCCCCTCCCATCGCTCCCTCCCCTCCCATCGCTCCCTCCCCTCCCATCGCTCCCTCCCCTCCCATCGCTCCCTCCCCTCCCATCGCTCCCTCCCCTCTCATCGCTCCCTCCCCTCCCATCGCTCCCTCCCCTCTCATCGCTCCCTCCCCTCCCATCCCTCCCTCCCCTCCCATCGCTCCCTCCCCTCCCATCGCTCCCTCCCCTCCCATCGCTCCCTCCCCTCCCATCGCTCCCTCCCCTCTCATCGCTCCCTCCCCTCTCATCGCTCCCTCCCCTCTCATCGCTCCCTCCCCTCTCATCGCTCCCTCCCCTCCCATCGCTCCCTCCCCTCCCATCGCTCCCTCCCCTCCCATCGCTCCCTCCCCTCCCATCGCTCCCTCCCCTCCCATCGCTCCCTCCCCTCCCATCGCTCCCTCCCCTCCCATCGCTCCCTCCCCTCCCATCGCTCCCTCCCCTCTCATCGCTCCCTCCCCTCCCATCGCTCCCTCCCCTCCCATCGCTCCCTCCCCTCCCATCGCTCCCTCCCCTCCCATCGCTCCCTCCCCTCTTATCGCTCCCTCCCCTCCCATCGCTCCCTCCCCTCCCATCGCTCCCTCCCCTCCCATCGCTCCCTCCCCTCCCATCGCTCCCTCCCCTCTCATCGCTCCCTCCCCTCCCATCGCTCCCTCCCCTCCCATCGCTCCCTCCCCTCCCATCGCTCCCTCCCCTCTCATCGCTCCCTCCCCTCCCATCGCTCCCTCCCCTCTCATCGCTCCCTCCCCTCCCATCGCTCCCTCCCCTCCCATCGCTCCCTCCCCTCCCATCGCTCCCTCCCCTCCCATCGCTCCCTCCCCTCTCATCGCTCCCTCCCCTCTCATCGCTCCCTCCCCTCTCATCGCTCCCTCCCCTCTCATCGCTCCCTCCCCTCCCATCGCTCCCTCCCCTCCCATCGCTCCCTCCCCTCCCATCGCTCCCTCCCCTCCCATCGCTCCCTCCCCTCCCATCGCTCCCTCCCCTCCCATCGCTCCCTCCCCTCCCATCGCTCCCTCCCCTCTCATCGCTCCCTCCCCTCTCATCGCTCCCTCCCCTCTCATCGCTCCCTCCCCTCCCATCGCTCCCTCCCCTCCCATCGCTCCCTCCCCTCCCATCGCTCCCTCCCCTCCCATCGCTCCCTCCCCTCCCATCGCTCCCTCCCCTCCCATCGCTCCTCCCCTCCATCGCTCCCTCCCCTCCCATCGCTCCCTCCCCTCCCATCGCTCCCTCCCCTCCCATCGCTCCCTCCCCTCCCATCGCTCCCTCCCCTCCCATCGCTCCCTCCCCTCCCATCGCTCCCTCCCCTCCCATCGCTCCCTCCCCTCCCATCGCTCCCTCCCCTCTCATCGCTCCCTCCCCTCCCATCGCTCCCTCCCCTCCCATCGCTCCCTCCCCTCTCATCGCTCCCTCCCCTCTCATCGCTCCCTCCCCTCCCATCACTCCCTCCCCTCCCATCGCTCCCTCCCCTCCATCGCTCCCTCCCCTCCCATCGCTCCCTCCCCTCCCATCGCTCCCTCCCCTCCCATTGCACTCCCTCCCCCTCCCATCGCTCCCTCCCCTCCCATCGCTCCCTCCCCTCCCATCGCTCCCTCCCCTCCCATCGCTCCCTCCCCTCCCATCGCTCCCTCCCCTCTCATCGCTCCCTCCCCTCTCATCGCTCCCTCCCCTCTCATCGCTCCCTCCCCTCTCATCGCTCCCTCCCCTCCCATCGCTCCCTCCCCTCCCATCGCTCCCTCCCCTCCCATCGCTCCCTCCCCTCCCATCGCTCCCTCCCCTCCCATCGCTCCCTCCCCTCCCATCGCTCCCTCCCCTCCCATCGCTCCCTCCCCTCCCATCGCTCCCTCCCCTCTCATCGCTCCCTCCCCTCCCATCGCTCCCTCCCCTCCCATCGCTCCCTCCCCTCTCATCGCTCCCTCCCCTCTCATCGCTCCCTCCCCTCCCATCACTCCCTCCCCTCTCATCGCTCCCTCCCCTCCCATCACTCCCTCCCCTCCCATCGCTCCCTCCCCTCCCATCGCTCCCTCCCCTCTCATCGCTCCCTCCCCTCCCATCAGCGTCTGCCCCCAAGGCGGCTGCAGGAGGGGGGGTTGTGCATGCTGGTGTCGGTGGAAGCCCTCACAGCCACCCCACTCTTCCCTTACCCCGCTTACCTCCCCCTCCCACTTCCCATGCCACTCTCTGCATTCCCCCTATCAGCGTCTGGCGCTGAGGCGGCTGCAGGAGGTGGGCGTGGGAGTGCTGGTGCCGGTGGAGGCCCTTGCAGCCGCGCCTCTCCCCAACGCCGTGGCTCTGCTCTCCCTGGAGCAGGCCAAGCTGGGCGTTCACAAGCACCTGCCGCAAGGTTAGTGGGCTGTGCATCGGAATTATGCCGGGTTTTCCGTCTGCTCTCTCATTTCCTCCCGTTTCCCTCCTTCTCTACGTCCCCCCTGTTCGTTTGGGTGCGTCGCGCTTCACTGCGACTGCTCAATTCTCTGCCCTCACATGTTGTCCTTTTTTCCTCCGTCTCCTCCCTTCCTTCCCTCTCTCGTCTCCTCTCTGTCCAAGCAGGAGCGGCGCGCTTTGCAGTGAGTGTGCGGGGCGATGAGAGTGAGGAGGACCTTAAGGCGCTGGAGGGGCTGGACGCTGTGATGCTGCTGGCGCACGTGCCACCCCAGGCAGAGGACAGCACCGTTAGCCGTGTTCACAGCAGCCGCAGGTGAGAGTGGTGCTCACATGGATGGGTGCATGGGTTCAAGGCTGGGTGCATGGGTTCAAGGCTGGGTGCATGGGCGTATGGGCGGAAGGGTGCACGGGTGGGCTGGTGTGTGTGCCAATCTGCTGTGCCCACTTGTCCCGCTGGTGCCACTGCAGGCAGGCAGGCGTGCACGCAGCTCCTCAGTGAGCGACTACCCAAAGGCAGGCATGCATCTCCTGAGGCTGATCCAGCAGCCTTCTGGACTTCCAGCCAGCCACAGCACCATGAGCCTCTTGAGCCTCTTGAGACTGTTGAGCCTGCTGGGCTTCCCTTCATCAGTCTAGCCTGACGCCTCCGCTCGTTCTGCTATCACTTCAACTCAACTGCCTTCCATGCACCTCCCCCATGCCCTCTGATCCCATGTGCCCCATCCGTCTCCCTCAGGCTGTTTGAGTTCCTGCAGACCAATAACATCACGACACCTGTCATCCACCACATCAGCTTCCCTGAGGGCACGTCCAAGTACGTTCCCTCCACCTCTGCCTCCCTGGCCTGCCTTCCCTGGCCTGCCTTCCCTGCCCAACCCAACCTGCCCTCCCCATCGTCCTCTTCCCAACCTTCCTTCCCCAACCCCCCTTGCCCAACCTCCCTTTCCTAACCTCCTCTCTCCAACCCCTCTCTCCAACCCCCTCTCTCCAACCCCCTCCCGCCTTTACATCTCTCCCGCCTTTACATCATTTCTTCACGTGTCCCTTGCTCTCTCCCCGCACGCTGTTCCCTCATCTCATCCCTTCTTCCGTCCCTCTGACTTCCCACACTCGCAACTAGTACGTCCAAGCAGCCTTGCTCTTCCTCCCCCGCTCCCACGACCTGCCGTGCTCGCCTGTGGCAGGGACAGTCTGGTGCTGCAGTCAGTGGCGAGTATGTTCTGAGTCGACTTGAAACACACCTGCTCACTCTTCGTCGTTGGTTGTGTGACTCCCCTTCCCCCCCCCCCCCCCTCCCCCTCCCTCCCCCACCTGCCGTGCTCGCCTGTGGCAGGGACGGTCTGGTGCTGCAGTCAGGTGGCGAGTATGCTTTGAGTCGACTTGAAACACACCTGCTCACTCTTGGTCCTTGCTTATGTGTCTCTCCTTCCCCTCCTCCCCCCCCTCCTCTCCCGCACCTGCCGTGCTCTCCTCCTGCAGGGACGATCTGGTGCTACAGTCAGGTGCCGAGGCCGGTGCTCTGCTGGTGAGTCACCCACTCACTCACTCACTCACCACCATGCCACGCTGCCTTATTCCATGCTGCCTTGCCCCATGCTCTCCTCGCTGTTATTCTGCCTTAGTGCCTCTTCGTGCCTCTTCGTCCGCTATTACTCTGTGCATCCCTGTCACTCCATACCTCTGCCTTCTTCCATGCCCCCTCCCACTGTACAGTTTGGGCGATGACAATGCTGCTTTGTCTGATTCTTTAATCCACTCAAAAATACGATTTAGGCGATGAGACAGAGTGCTGCTGGAGGCGCCAAGCCATGACATGGAGTTACTTGCTTCAATCCTCCCTCCCCCTCCTCTTCCCTGCCCCTGCCCCCGCCCTTGCCCCTGCCCATCCCCTCTCCCCCCACTCCCTGCCTCTTGGTGTCTCTCCGGGCGGGCATCACCAGGTGGACGGGCTGGGAGACGGAGTGCTGCTGGAGGCGCTCAGCCACGACATGGAGTTATGTGCTTCAATCCTCCACCCACCTCCTCCTCCCTTCCCCCACCCTTCCCCTCTCCCCTCCCCTTCCTCGTGGCACCAGGTGGACGGGCTGGGAGACGGAGTGCTGCTGGAGGCGCCGAGCCACGACATGGAGTTCCTGCGCAACACGTCCTTTGGCATGCTGCAGGGGTGCCGTATGCGCAACACCAAGACGGTGAGTCGAGGATAAGGGCCCTTAGTGTGCTCCTCACCAAGTGCCTTTCACTGGGTGCCTCTCAAGCGCAACACGTCCTTTGGCATGCTGCAGGGGTGGCGCAAGAGGAACACCAAGACGGTGAGTTGACAGTCTCGTGCGACTAGACTGCTCCCCAAGTGCCCAAATGCGGCCCCCAATGTGCCTCAATTCCATTCATTAGCTGTCAAGTCTCAGGCATCTCACCACCACCCATCGCCTCTTCCCTATTCCCTCACACGCTGTTTGATCTGGAGGAGGTCATTGCCTCCATCCGCGCCTCCCTCCCCAACCCTCCCCACCCCTCCTCACCCCTCCCTCTCCTCTCCCCCTCCCCATCCCCCCTCCCCCTCACAGGAGTTCGTCTCGTGCCCATCATGCGGCCGCACACTCTTTGACCTGCAGGAGGTGACTGCCTCCATCCGCGAGCGCACCTCGCACCTCCCTGGCGTTGCTGTGAGTCCCTCTCTCTCCACCTGCCCTCTCTTTTTCTAGCGAGGCGGTGCATGCCTTTGACAGCACGTATGTATACATGTTCACATACATACATGTTCACATACATACATGTTCACATACATACATATATATTCCAAAGAACAGCTAGGTTGCCTGTGTTTCCCCTCTTTCACTGTTGGTTCTTTTGTTTTGGTGTCTGCTCGTCCACTTGTAGCTCCTCACCCCATGGTCCATTTCCCCTCCTCTTCGTCCATCTCCCTTGTTCTTCTCCTTTCCCCGTCCTCCTCCACACCCACTCTCTCCCTTCGCCACCCACAGATCGCCATCATGGGGTGCGTTGTAAACGGCCCCGGTGAGATGGCTGATGCTCATTTCATCCTCTTCCTCCTCTCCCCTACTTCCCCCGTCCCGTTCCCCCCTCTCCCCCATCCTGCCCCCCCCACACCTCATCCACAGATCGCCATCATGGGGTGCATTGTGAACGGGCCGGGTGAGATGGCTGATGCTGACTTTGGCTACGTGGGCGGGGCGCCAGGCAAGATCGACCTCTATGTCGGCAAGGTGTGTGCGGTGCGGTGTGCTTGGGTGCGCTCGAGTGTGCTTGGGTACTATCACAGAGGGACTTTGGCTACGTGGGAGGGGCGCCGGGCAAGATCGACCTCTATGTTGGCAAGGTGGGTGCCCTCTGCTAGGCTGGATGGCATGGTGGGTGCTCTCTGCTGGGCTGGATGGCATGGTGGGTGCCCTCTGCTGGGCTGGATGGCATGGTGGGTGCTCTCTGCTGGGCTGGATGGCATGGTGGGTGCTCTCTGCTGGGCTGGATGGCATGGTGGGTGCTCTCTGCTGGGCTGGATGGCATGGTGGGTGCTCTCTGCTGGGCTGGATGGCATGGTGGGTGCCCTCTGCTGGGCTCGATGGCATGGTGGGTGCTCTCTGCTGGGCTGGATGGCATGGTGGGTGCTCTCTGCTGGGCTGGATGGCATGGTGGGTGCCCTCTGCTGGGCTGGATGGCATGGTGGGTGCTCTCTGCTGGGCTGGATGGCATGGTGGGTGCCCTCTGCTGGGCTGGATGGCATGGTGGGTGCCCTCTGCTGGGCTGGATGGCATGGTGGGTGCTCTCTGCTGGGCTGGATGGCATGGTGGGTGCTCTCTGCTGGGCTGGATGGCATGGTGGGTACTCTCTGCTGGGCTGGATGGCATGGTGGGTGCCCTCTGCTGGGCTGGATGGCATGGTGGGTGCTCTCTGCTGGGCTGGATGGCATGGTGGGTGCTCTCTGCTGGGCTGAATGGCATGGTGGGTGCCCTCTGCTGGGCTGGATGGCATGGTGGGTGCTCTCTGCTGGGCTGGATGGCATGGTGGGTGTTCTCTGCTGGGCTGGATGGCATGGTGGGTGCTCTCTGCTGGGCTGGATGGCATGGTGGGTGCCCTCTGCTGGGCTGGATGGCATGGTGGGTGCTCTCTGCTAGGCTGGATGGCATGGTGGGTGCCCTCTGCTGGGCTGGATGGCATGGTGGGTGCCCTCTGCTGGGCTGGATGGCATGGTGGGTGCTCTCTGCTGGGCTGGATGGCATGGTGGGTGCTCTCTGCTGGGCTGGATGGCATGGTGGGTGCCCTCTGCTGGGCTGGATGGCATGGTGGGTGCTCTCTGCTGGGCTGGATGGCATGGTGGGTGCTCTCTGCTGGGCTGAATGGCATGGTGGGTGCCCTCTGCTGGGCTGGATGGCATGGTGGGTGCTCTCTGCTGGCTGGATGGCATGGTGGGTGCTCTCTGCTGGGCTGGATGGCATGGTGGGTGCTCTCTGCTGGGCTGGATGGCATGGTGGGTGCCCTCTGCTGGGCTGGATGGCATGGTGGGTGCTCTCTGCTGGGCTGAATGGCATGGTGGGTGCTCTCTGCTGGGCTGGATGGCATGGTGGGTGCCCTCTGCTGGGCTGGATGGCATGGTGGGTGCTCTCTGCTGGGCTGGATGGCATGGTGGGTGCTCTCTGCTGGGCTGGATGGCATGGTGGGTGCTCTCTGCTGGGCTGAATGGCATGGTGGGTGCTCTCTGCTGGGCTGGATGGCATGGTGGGTGCCCTCTGCTGGGCTGGATGGCATGGTGGGTGCTCTCTGCTGGGCTGGATGGCATGGTGGGTGTTCTCTGCTGGGCTGGATGGCATGGTGGGTGCTCTCTGCTGGGCTGGATGGCATGGTGGGTGCCCTCTGCTGGGCTGGATGGCATGGTGGGTGCTCTCTGCTGGGCTGGATGGCATGGTGGGTGCTCTCTGCTGGGCTGAATGGCATGGTGGGTGCCCTCTGCTGGGCTGGATGGCATGGTGGGTGCTCTCTGCTGGGCTGGATGGCATGGTGGGTGCTCTCTGCTGGGCTGGATGGCATGGTGGGTGCTCTCTGCTGGGCTGGATGGCATGGTGGGTGCCCTCTGCTGGGCTGGATGGCATGGTGGGTGCTCTCTGCTGGGCTGGATGGCATGGTGGGTGCTCTCTGCTGGGCTGGATGGCATGGTGGGTGCCCTCTGCTGGGCTGGATGGCATGGTGGGTGCTCTCTGCTGGGCTGGATGGCATGGTGGGTGCTCTCTGCTGGGCTGGATGGCATGGTGGGTGCTCTCTGCTGGGCTGGATGGCATGGTGGGTGCTCTCTGCTGGGCTGGATGGCATGGTGGGTACTCTCTGCTGGGCTGGATGGCATGGTGGGTGCCCTCTGCTGGGCTGGATGGCATGGTGGGTGCCCTCTGCTGGGCTGGATGGCATGGTGGGTGCTCTCTGCTGGGCTGGATGGCATGGTGGGTGCTCTCTGCTGGGCTGGATGGCATGGTGGGTACTCTCTGCTGGGCTGGATGGCATGGTGGGTGCCCTCTGCTGGGCTGGATGGCATGGTGGGTGCTCTCTGCTGGGCTGGATGGCATGGTGGGTGCTCTCTGCTGGGCTGAATGGCATGGTGGGTGCCCTCTGCTGGGCTGGATGGCATGGTGGGTGCTCTCTGCTGGGCTGGATGGCATGGTGGGTGCTCTCTGCTGGGCTGGATGGCATGGTGGGTGCTCTCTGCTGGGCTGGATGGCATGGTGGGTGCCCTCTGCTGGGCTGGATGGCATGGTGGGTGCCCTCTGCTGGGCTGGATGGCATGGTGGGTGCTCTCTGCTGGGCTGGATGGCATGGTGGGTGCTCTCTGCTGGGCTGGATGGCATGGTGGGTGCTCTCTGCTGGGCTGGATGGCATGGTGGGTGCCCTCTGCTGGGCTGGATGGCATGGTGGGTGCTCTCTGCTGGGCTGGATGGCATGGTGGGTGCCCTCTGCTGGGCTGGATGGCATGGTGGGTGCTCTCTGCTGGGCTGGATGGCATGGTGGGTGCTCTCTGCTGGGCTGAATGGCATGGTGGGTGCCCTCTGCTGGGCTGGATGGCATGGTGGGTGCTCTCTGCTGGGCTGGATGGCATGGTGGGTGCTCTCTGCTGGGCTGGATGGCATGGTGGGTGCTCTCTGCTGGGCTGGATGGCATGGTAGGTGCCCTCTGCTGGGCTGGATGGCATGGTGGGTGCTCTCTGCTGGGCTGGATGGCATGGTGGGTGCCCTCTGCTGGGCTGGATGGCATGGTGGGTGCCCTCTGCTGGGCTGGATGGCATGGTGGGTGCTCTCTGCTGGGCTGGATGGCATGGTGGGTGCTCTCTGCTGGGCTGGATGGCATGGTGGGTGCCCTCTGCTGGGCTGGATGGCATGGTGGGTGCTCTCTGCTGGGCTGGATGGCATGGTGGGTGCTCTCTGCTGGGCTGAATGGCATGGTGGGTGCCCTCTGCTGGGCTGGATGGCATGGTGGGTGCTCTCTGCTGGGCTGGATGGCATGGTGGGTGCTCTCTGCTGGGCTGGATGGCATGGTGGGTGCTCTCTGCTGGGCTGGATGGCATGGTGGGTGCTCTCTGCTGGGCTGGATGGCATGGTGGGTGCTCTCTGCTGGGCTGGATGGCATGGTGGGTGCCCTCTGCTGGGCTGGATGGCATGGTGGGTGCTCTCTGCTGGGCTGGATGACATGGTGGGTGCTCTCTGCTGGGCTGGATGGCATGGTGGGTGCCCTCTGCTGGGCTGGATGGCATGGTGGGTGCTCTCTGCTGGGCTGGATGGCATGGTGGGTGCTCTCTGCTGGGCTGAATGGCATGGTGGGTGCTCTCTGCTGGGCTGGATGGCATGGTGGGTGCCCTCTGCTGGGCTGGATGGCATGGTGGGTGCTCTCTGCTGGGCTGAATGGCATGGTGGGTGCTCTCTGCTGGGCTGGATGGCATGGTGGGTGCCCTCTGCTGGGCTGGATGGCATGGTGGGTGCTCTCTGCTGGGCTGGATGGCATGGTGGGTGCTCTCTGCTGGGCTGGATGGCATGGTGGGTGCTCTCTGCTGGGCTGAATGGCATGGTGGGTGCTCTCTGCTGGGCTGGATGGCATGGTGGGTGCCCTCTGCTGGGCTGGATGGCATGGTGGGTGCCCTCTGCTGGGCTGGATGGCAAGGTGGGTGCTCTATTCTGGGCTGGATGGCATAGTGGGTGTTCTCTGCTGGGCTGGATGGCATGGTGGGTGCTCTCTGCTGGGCTGGATGGCATGGTGGGTGCTCTCTGCTGGGCTGGATGGCATGGTGGGTGCTCTCTGCTGGGCTGGATGGCATGGTGGGTGCTCTCTGCTGGCCTGGATGGCATGGTGGGTGCCCTCTGCTTGGCTGGATGGCATGGTGGGTGCTCTCTGCTGGGCTGGATGGCATGGTGGGTGCTCTCTGCTGGGCTGGATGGCATGGTGGGTGCCCTCTGCTGGGCTGGATGGCATGGTGGGTGCCCTCTGCTGGGCTGGATGGCATGGTGGGTGCTCTCTGCTGGGCTGGATGGCATGGTGGGTGCTCTCTGCTGGGCTGGATGGCATGGTGGGTGCTCTCTGCTGGGCTGAATGGCATGGTGGGTGCTCTCTGCTGGGCTGGATGGCATGGTGGGTGCCCTCTGCTGGGCTGGATGGCATGGTGGGTGCCCTCTGCTGGGCTGGATGGCAAGGTGGGTGCTCTATGCTGGGCTGGATGGCATAGTGGGTGTTCTCTGCTGGGCTGGATGGCATGGTGGGTGCTCTCTGCTGGGCTGGATGGCATGGTGGGTGCTCTCTGCTGGGCTGGATGGCATGGTGGGTGCTCTCTGCTGGGCTGGATGGCATGGTGGGTGCTCTCTGCTGGGCTGGATGGCATGGTGGGTGCCCTCTGCTTGGCTGGATGGCATGGTGGGTGCTCTCTGCTGGGCTGGATGGCATGGTGGGTGCTCTCTGCTGGGCTGGATGGCATGGTGGGTGCCCTCTGCTGGGCTGGATGGCATGGTGGGTGCCCTCTGCTGGGCTGGATGGCATGGTGGGTGCTCTCTGCTGGGCTGGATGGCATGGTGGGTGCTCTCTGCTGGGCTGGATGGCATGGTGGGTGCTCTCTGCTGGGCTGGATGGCAAGGTGGGTGCTCTCTGCTGGGCTGGATGGCATGGTGGGGTGCTCTCTGCTGGGCTGAATGGCATGGTGGGTGCTCTCTGCTGGGCTGGATGGCATGGTGGGTGCTCTCTGCTGGGCTGGATGGCATGGTGGGTGCTCTCTGCTGGGCTGGATGGCATGGTGGGTGCTCTCTGCTGGGCTGGATGGCATGGTGGGTGCTCTCTGCTGGGCTGGATGGCATGGTGGGTGCTCTCTGCTGGGCTGAATGGCATGGTGGGTGCCCTCTGCTGGGCTGGATGGCATGGTGGGTGCTCTCTGCTGGGCTGGATGGCATGGTGGGTGCTCTCTGCTGGGCTGGATGGCATGGTGGGTGCTCTCTGCTGGGCTGGATGGCATGGTAGGTGCCCTCTGCTGGGCTGGATGGCATGGTGGGTGCTCTCTGCTGGGCTGGATGGCATGGTGGGTGCCCTCTGCTGGGCTGGATGGCATGGTGGGTGCCCTCTGCTGGGCTGGATGGCATGGTGGGTGCTCTCTGCTGGGCTGGATGGCATGGTGGGTGCTCTCTGCTGGGCTGGATGGCATGGTGGGTGCCCTCTGCTGGGCTGGATGGCATGGTGGGTGCTCTCTGCTGGGCTGGATGGCATGGTGGGTGCTCTCTGCTGGGCTGAATGGCATGGTGGGTGCCCTCTGCTGGGCTGGATGGCATGGTGGGTGCTCTCTGCTGGGCTGGATGGCATGGTGGGTGCTCTCTGCTGGGCTGGATGGCATGGTGGGTGCTCTCTGCTGGGCTGGATGGCATGGTGGGTGCTCTCTGCTGGGCTGGATGGCATGGTGGGTGCTCTCTGCTGGGCTGGATGGCATGGTGGGTGCCCTCTGCTGGGCTGGATGGCATGGTGGGTGCTCTCTGCTGGGCTGGATGACATGGTGGGTGCTCTCTGCTGGGCTGGATGGCATGGTGGGTGCCCTCTGCTGGGCTGGATGGCATGGTGGGTGCTCTCTGCTGGGCTGGATGGCATGGTGGGTGCTCTCTGCTGGGCTGAATGGCATGGTGGGTGCTCTCTGCTGGGCTGGATGGCATGGTGGGTGCCCTCTGCTGGGCTGGATGGCATGGTGGGTGCTCTCTGCTGGGCTGAATGGCATGGTGGGTGCTCTCTGCTGGGCTGGATGGCATGGTGGGTGCCCTCTGCTGGGCTGGATGGCATGGTGGGTGCTCTCTGCTGGGCTGGATGGCATGGTGGGTGCTCTCTGCTGGGCTGGATGGCATGGTGGGTGCTCTCTGCTGGGCTGAATGGCATGGTGGGTGCTCTCTGCTGGGCTGGATGGCATGGTGGGTGCCCTCTGCTGGGCTGGATGGCATGGTGGGTGCCCTCTGCTGGGCTGGATGGCAAGGTGGGTGCTCTATTCTGGGCTGGATGGCATAGTGGGTGTTCTCTGCTGGGCTGGATGGCATGGTGGGTGCTCTCTGCTGGGCTGGATGGCATGGTGGGTGCTCTCTGCTGGGCTGGATGGCATGGTGGGTGCTCTCTGCTGGGCTGGATGGCATGGTGGGTGCTCTCTGCTGGCCTGGATGGCATGGTGGGTGCCCTCTGCTTGGCTGGATGGCATGGTGGGTGCTCTCTGCTGGGCTGGATGGCATGGTGGGTGCTCTCTGCTGGGCTGGATGGCATGGTGGGTGCCCTCTGCTGGGCTGGATGGCATGGTGGGTGCCCTCTGCTGGGCTGGATGGCATGGTGGGTGCTCTCTGCTGGGCTGGATGGCATGGTGGGTGCTCTCTGCTGGGCTGGATGGCATGGTGGGTGCTCTCTGCTGGGCTGAATGGCATGGTGGGTGCTCTCTGCTGGGCTGGATGGCATGGTGGGTGCCCTCTGCTGGGCTGGATGGCATGGTGGGTGCCCTCTGCTGGGCTGGATGGCAAGGTGGGTGCTCTATGCTGGGCTGGATGGCATAGTGGGTGTTCTCTGCTGGGCTGGATGGCATGGTGGGTGCTCTCTGCTGGGCTGGATGGCATGGTGGGTGCTCTCTGCTGGGCTGGATGGCATGGTGGGTGCTCTCTGCTGGGCTGGATGGCATGGTGGGTGCTCTCTGCTGGGCTGGATGGCATGGTGGGTGCCCTCTGCTTGGCTGGATGGCATGGTGGGTGCTCTCTGCTGGGCTGGATGGCATGGTGGGTGCTCTCTGCTGGGCTGGATGGCATGGTGGGTGCCCTCTGCTGGGCTGGATGGCATGGTGGGTGCCCTCTGCTGGGCTGGATGGCATGGTGGGTGCTCTCTGCTGGGCTGGATGGCAAGGTGGGTGCTCTCTGCTGGGCTGGATGGCATGGTGGGTGCTCTCTGCTGGGCTGGATGGCATGGTGGGTGCCCTCTGCTGGGCTGGATGGCATGGTGGGTGCTCTCTGCTGGGCTGGATGGCATGGTGGGTGCTCTCTGCTGGGCTGGATGGCATGGTGGGTGCTCTCTGCTGGGCTGGATGGCATGTTGGGTGCTCTCTGCTGGGCTGGATGGCATGGTGGGTGCTCTCTGCTGGGCTGGATGGCATGGTGGGTGCTCTCTGCTGGGCTGGATGGCATGGTGGGTGCCCTCTGCTGGGCTGGATGGCATGGTGGGTGCTCTCTGCTGGGCTGAATGGCATGGTGGGTGCTCTCTGCTGGGCTGGATGGCATGGTGGGTGCCCTCTGCTGGGCTGGATGGCATGGTGGGTGCTCTCTGCTGGGCTGGATGGCATGGTGGGTGTTCTCTGCTGGGCTGGATGGCATGGTGGGTGCTCTCTGCTGGGCTGGATGGCATGGTGGGTGCTCTCTGCTGGGCTGGATGGCATGGTGGGGTGCTCTCTGCTGGGCTGGATGGCATGGTGGGTGCTCTCTGCTGGGCTGGATGGCATGGTGGGTGCCCTCTGCTTGGCTGGATGGCATGGTGGGTGCTCTCTGCTTGGCTGGATGGCATGGTGGGTGCTCTCTGCTGGGCTGGATGGCATGGTGGGTGCTCTCTGCTGGGCTGGATGGCATGGTGGGTGCTCTCTGCTGGGCTGGATGACATGGTGGGTGCTCTCTGCTGGGCTGGATGGCATGGTGGGTGCCCTCTGCTGGGCTGGATGGCATGGTGGGTGCTCTCTGCTGGGCTGGATGGCATGGTGGGGTGCTCTCTGCTGGGCTGAATGGCATGGTGGGTGCTCTCTGCTGGGCTGGATGGCATGGTGGGTGCCCTCTGCTGGGCTGGATGGCATGGTGGGTGCCCTCTGCTGGGCTGGATGGCAAGGTGGGTGCTCTATGCTGGGCTGGATGGCATAGTGGGTGTTCTCTGCTGGGCTGGATGGCATGGTGGGTGCTCTCTGCTGGGCTGGATGGCATGGTGGGTGCTCTCTGCTGGGCTGGATGGCATGGTGGGTGCTCTCTGCTGGGCTGGATGGCATGGTGGGTGCTCTCTGCTGGGCTGGATGGCATGGTGGGTGCTCTCTGCTGGGCTGGATGGCATGGTGGGTGCTCTCTGCTGGGCTGGATGGCAAGGTGGGTGCTCTCTGCTGGGCTGGATGGCATGGTGGGTGCTCTCTGCTGGGCTGAATGGCATGGTGGGTGCTCTCTGCTGGGCTGGATGGCATGGTGGGTGCTCTCTGCTGGGCTGGATGGCATGGTGGGTGCTCTCTGCTGGGCTGGATGGCATGGTGGGTGCTCTCTGCTGGGCTGGATGGCATGGTGGGTGCTCTCTGCTGGGCTGGATGGCATGGTGGGTGCTCTCTGCTGGGCTGGATGGCATGGTGGGTGCCCTCTGCTGGGCTGGATGGCATGGTGGGTGCTCTCTGCTGGGCTGGATGACATGGTGGGTGTTCTCTGCTGGGCTGGATGGCATGGTGGGTGCTCTCTGCTGGGCTGGATGGCATGGTGGGTGCTCTCTGCTGGGCTGGATGGCATGGTGGGTGCTCTCTGCTGGGCTGGATGGCATGGTGGGTGCTCTCTGCTGGGCTGGATGGCATGGTGGGTGCCCTCTGCTGGGCTGGATGGCATGGTGGGTGCTCTCTGCTGGGCTGGATGGCATGGTGGGTGCTCTCTGCTGGGCTGGATGGCATGGTGGGTGCCCTCTGCTGGGCTGGATGGCATGGTGGGTGCTCTCTGCTGGGCTGGATGGCATGGTGGGTGCTCTCTGCTGGGCTGGATGGCAAGGTGGGTGCTCTCTGCTGGGCTGGATGGCATGGTGGGTGCTCTCTGCTGGGCTGGATGGCAAGGTGGGTGCTCTCTGCTGGGCTGGATGGCATGGTGGGTGCTCTCTGCTGGGCTGGATGGCATGGTGGGTGCTCTCTGCTGGGCTGGATGGCATGGTGGGTGCTCTCTGCTGGGCTGGATGGCAAGGTGGGTGCTCTCTGCTGGGCTGGATGGCATGGTGGGTGCTCTCTGCTGGGCTGGATGGCAAGGTGGGTGCCCTCTGCTGGGCTGGATGGCATGGTGGGTGCTCTCTGCTGGGCTGGATGGCATGGTGGGTGCTCTCTGCTGGGCTGGATGGCATGGTGGGTGCTCTCTGCTGGGCTGGATGGCATGGTGGGTGCTCTCTGCTGGGCTGGATGGCATGTTGGGTGCTCTCTGCTGGGCTGGATGGCATGGTGGGTGCTCTCTGCTGGGCTGGATGGCATGGTGGGTGCTCTCTGCTGGGCTGGATGGCATGGTGGGTGCCCTCTGCTGGGCTGGATGGCATGGTGGGTGCTCTCTGCTGGGCTGGATGACATGGTGGGTGTTCTCTGCTGGGCTGGATGGCATGGTGGGTGCTCTCTGCTGGGCTGGATGGCATGGTGGGTGCTCTCTGCTGGGCTGGATGGCATGGTGGGTGCTCTCTGCTGGGCTGGATGGCATGGTGGGTGCTCTCTGCTGGGCTGGATGGCATGGTGGGTGCCCTCTGCTGGGCTGGATGGCATGGTGGGTGCTCTCTGCTGGGCTGGATGGCATGGTGGGTGCTCTCTGCTGGGCTGGATGGCATGGTGGGTGCCCTCTGCTGGGCTGGATGGCATGGTGGGTGCTCTCTGCTGGGCTGGATGGCATGGTGGGTGCTCTCTGCTGGGCTGGATGGCATGGTGGGTGCTCTCTGCTGGGCTGGATGGCATGTTGGGTGCTCTCTGCTGGGCTGGATGGCATGGTGGGTGCTCTCTGCTGGGCTGGATGGCATGGTGGGTGCTCTCTGCTGGGCTGGATGGCATGGTGGGTGCCCTCTGCTGGGCTGGATGGCATGGTGGGTGCTCTCTGCTGGGCTGGATGACATGGTGGGTGTTCTCTGCTGGGCTGGATGGCATGGTGGGTGCTCTCTGCTGGGCTGGATGGCATGGTGGGTGCTCTCTGCTGGGCTGGATGGCATGGTGGGTGCTCTCTGCTGGGCTGGATGGCATGGTGGGTGCTCTCTGCTGGGCTGGATGGCATGGTGGGTGCCCTCTGCTGGGCTGGATGGCATGGTGGGTGCTCTCTGCTGGGCTGGATGGCATGGTGGGTGCTCTCTGCTGGGCTGGATGGCATGGTGGGTGCCCTCTGCTGGGCTGGATGGCATGGTGGGTGCTCTCTGCTGGGCTGGATGGCATGGTGGGTGCTCTCTGCTGGGCTGGATGGCAAGGTGGGTGCTCTCTGCTGGGCTGGATGGCATGGTGGGTGCTCTCTGCTGGGCTGGATGGCAAGGTGGGTGCTCTCTGCTGGGCTGGATGGCATGGTGGGTGCTCTCTGCTGGGCTGGATGGCATGGTGGGTGCTCTCTGCTGGGCTGGATTGCATGGTGGGTGCTCTCTGCTGGGCTGGATGGCATGGTGGGCAGCACGCTGGGCTGGATGGCATGGTGGGCAGCACGCTGGGCTGGATGGCATGGTGGGCAGCACGCTGGGCTGGATGGCATGGTGGGCAGCACGCTGGGCTGGATGGCATGGTGGGCAGCACGGTGGGCTGGATGGCATGGTGGGCAGCACGCTGGGCTGGATGGCATGGTGGGCAGCACGCTGGGCTGGATGGCATGGTGGGCAGCACGCTGGGCTGCATCTGTGTGGTATCCTGGGTTCAGGGTTTAGGGTTTAGGCCGCATCATGCCGCCAGTCTACCTCATTCCCAGCTGTCCCCATACCCCTCCCTCCTCCACCACATTCCACCGCACTCCATCCCACCCCACCCCACCCCATCCCACCCCAACCCCTCCAACCCTCAACAGGAGGTGGTGCAGCGCGCCATCCCCATGGAGGAGGCGACAGACGCGCTGGTGAAGCTGATCAAGGACCATGGCCGCTGGGTGGAGCCGGCTAAGGAGGAGGAGGTGCAGGCCGTGGCGGCTTGAAGCGGTGTTGCACTGCGCGCTCGCGCCTTGTGGTGACTTGCTGGCGGCGTGATGGGGTGTCTGGGTGTTGGACGTCAGGGTGTAGTCCTCCTTGCGTTTGAGCAGCTGCCATGACTCATGAGCTTGAGCTCTCCAAAACATGTTGGGTGGTGGTTTTTGAAAGGGGGGATGAGCAGTGCAGTCTGAGGGTAGATCACAGGCTCCATGGTGTAGAGAGTCCGAGGGACTGGTGAAGTGGGGGCGTGCTTTGAGCTGCAAGGATCAGATCCACGGTTGCGGGATTGATGGACGTGGCAGATCTGGTTGTGTCTAGAGAGCCTTGTGTGTAACCATTATGTTTTGCCTTGGTTGCATTATTGTTCATACATCAGCAACAATAACCGGGATTCTAAACAGCCAGAAGCTGAAAAGTTCATGAGTTGGTGAAAGAATGGACTAGTTCAGGCATGCCAACAACATTATCGTTCTGGCTGCAACCAGTTAAAAAGCAGTCCCTCCAATTATTATTACCTGTACTATGGCACGACTTCACTATAAAACCGCCGCTGTAAATCACCTGTCAACTTACAATGAGGCTGCCATATCACAACTTCACAAGACACAGCTTTGCTCTCTTGTGTGCCCATGACTTGCAAAACGCTTTGCCTTGACAAGCTGTCAGTATCAAAGACGAGCCTAGGTGGACGTTAGTTGAACTTTAGACAGAGAAGAAAAGATGAACAGAACAAGGTGCTTTCAGTTACAAAAAAACACATTGCTGGTCCAATTTATTGGCAAGACAGACAGTTCTGCACAAGCAGTGCAACGCACAGGCTAACCTACAAAAGGGTTTTCTTGCGGCAGTATGTAATAGCAGACAGGTTATGTAGAGAATTCGCCCATGGAGGTATGACTTGCTGCTGCTTAGCAGGTACAGCGCCCTGTACTGGAACCGTACCTTGCACGCATACCGTAATGAAGCAGTCCTTTCACAGCATGCACCAGTGGCAGGTAACATGCCAAGCCAAGCCTCATAGTGTAACCAGGTAACACTGTACACCAACCAAGAGCAAATATATACTCGGTGGTGTAGATCAGTGATACTGTAGCCGAGCAGCTCCCACAAGCCCTGCCCTGACACTCGGACGCACCGAGTCAGGAAGTGCAGGTCAGGTGGGTTTAGCTGCTGCTGGCTATGCCCATGAGGCTTGACTTGGCATCCCCCTGTGTTGCCACGTGGCATGCTGATGACCATGAGGGTCCGAGCAGTGAGAGAAGAGTAGTGAGTCGGCCAAGGAGTCAGGCAGTAAGGTGGGAGAGGAGCAATGATGAGGAAAAGGAGTTGGGTTGGAAGGGGGAGAGGAAGAGAAGCAGCACCCGGAGAGGAAACGAGCACTCGGAGAGTCCCTGAGGGTCAATTGCTTGATGCGGATTGTTGGTACCGCCTTTATTGAGAGGCAGGAGCAGGCGCAGTCGAGAAGGATGACTTTTGAGACGTCTCGGAAGTCAACGTTCACACGCGAATCCCAGATGGGCTGCTGGCAGTCGCAGGTGGGGCTGCTGTCAGCACTACCTGCTGCCGCTGCGTCACTATCAGTGGTGGTGGTGCCGCTGTTGCTGCTGCTCCAGTGGCTGAGTGAATCGCAGGTGCTTTGACTCCCGCAGAAGCACCAGCACCAACCACAGCAGCACCGCTCGCCGACGCTCCTGCCACGGCAGCTGCTGCAGCAGGCGCGCCAGCAGCAGTCGTGCCAGCAGCAGTGGCGCCAGCAGCAGTGGGTTTCTTCCCCAGCTGCTGTCTGAGAATCCTCCCGCCAAGGCAGTTGAGGAGAATCCACGGGTGAGACAGAATCTTCACAGCAGGCGGCCGCCTCCTGGGGTCCCGCTGTAACAGGCACCGCACCAACCCCTTTGCCTCCTCTGACACCCCACTCCACTCCTCCCCGCCCATGTCCACCGCGCCTTGCAGCACCTTCATAAAGACGTCCCTGTCCGTCGGGCCCCAGAAGGGCGGCGCGCCACAGAGGAGAATGTAGAGGATGACGCCCAGAGACCACACGTCGGCTTCGAGGGAATAGTCGCCACGGAGGACTTCGGGAGCAATGTAGAAAGGCGACCCGGCGACGCCGCGCGCGCGCTCGCCCTGCTTGAGCGGAATCGCGAGCCCGAAATCCGCCAGCTTCGCGACGACGACCCGCTGGCCCGCGCCGGCTGCTGCGGCGGCGGAAACGGCGGCGGACGGCGTACCTGCAGTGGCAGGCGCGGCGGCGGAAGCGGGGTAGCGCGCGAGGAGGATGTTTTCGGGTTTGAGGTCGCGATGGAGCACGCCGCGGGAGTGGCAGAAGGCGACAGCCGACACTATCTGGCTAAAAACCTGCGCCGCGTCGCGCTCGCTCAGTCGCCCGCGTCGCACAATTTCGTCAAACAGTTCGCCACCGTCGCACAGCTCCATGATCATGTGCACGGCCGCGTCGTCTTCGAACACTGCGCGAAGCTGCACCACCCCCGCGTGCGGGCTGTACCCCGCGGGGGCGACGCCAGCCCCGGCGGCAGACGCTGCGCCAGCTGCGCCGGAAGTTGCGCCGCAAGACGCGCCAGCAGCGAGACGCTGCATGAGCACGACCTCGCGCCTCACGTCGTGGCGTTCCGACTCGGAGGTTAACCGACTCTTTAAGATGGACTTGCACGCGAAGCGCGTCCCGGTCGCCTTCTCGACGCACCTGCGCACCGATCCGAACTGCCCCGAACCCAGTACAGCCGATTCGAGGGCAAAATAATCCTCTAAGCGACCCGTCGGCGTGCCGAAAATCTCGGTGGCACGAGGGGAGGGGGAGGCCGAGGGAAATGAGGAGTTGGGGGAAGATTGAGAGAAGGAAGGGCGAGGGGAGAAGGAGGAATGTTGACTCGAAGCGCATGCGCCGGTTCTAGCGGACTTGGCGGCGCGAGATTCGGACGAGGCGTCAAGGTCGAAACCAGAGGCCCTGTCGCGCTTCCTCTGCGATTCTAACGACCGCGCGCGCCTGTCGCGGCGGTCGCAGCCGTGCTGCTGCTGCTGCGTTGGAGGAGAGACTCGTGCTGCTGCTGCATTTCCTGGCTGCGCCATAATATCGACTTGCTAGTGAACTGAACTTCGAAACGCGCTCCTTTTGCACTTAACAGCGGCTACTGGGCCGGAGTATTTACTTATGAGCTGCGAGACGATTGCGAGATTGTGTGAAGCTAGGAAGGGATATAAATTTCGCACAAACTTGATTGAAATAGCTGCAAAAGATGCCCACTTTATGCTTCGGTCCGGACATACGCGGTACTTAAATGCGGCGCACTAACCCAAACACGAGCTGGAGTGAAGGTGTTTAGATGTGAAGCCGGATAAACATGCAATGACGGAAAATAGTCGGCTAGGTAAACGACGGCTCGTCCCCCGTCCAGATTACTTGAGAGTATTGATGCTGGCAATGGCGCCAATGCCAACAGCTTCTAGAAATTCTACAGCATATGAAGGATGGACGGAGGGAGGGCGGAGTGGATGGTGGACTGGGCACGGGTTTGACTGGCACTGGAGAGCGAATTCGTGTGGGTGATGGGGAAAGGGAGGCGATTTGGGCGACAAGACTAGGAATCCCCAACATGCTGGCGATGGGGAGGCTCGCCGTGTCGCGACACTTTTGATACAGATGATATTTCACGGGCACTTTCTGAGTCGTGAGTCTCCGCTATCGCTAAGTGACACAAAAAGGCTTTCTGCTAAAGAGCAGGATATGGCCACTTTTCGAGTTAAGTGGTGGAAATTCGAGCTAGCTGAAACACTCGACGTGCTCATTTGGGATATAATAGCCACCTCCCGTACAGTTTCCCTTCATTTCAGCTCTCAACATACATGGTTGACACCGAGACGACGACCAGGTCCACGGCCGAGCGAGCCAATGAAGGGCGGGGCTGACCTTGCACTCGGAAACCATGTGCGACTCCATAGAGGGTTGGATGGGCGGAGTGATGTCAAACCAGGCACGATAAAGAATAATCGGACTGATTACGTTTCTTGTGCGACGCTCACCGTGTTATGTACGACTGAAAACCGCATCGTGGGAGTGTTGTATGGTGGAGTCCACGACAAGGGAAGACGACATTTTCTCGCCACGCCAGCTTCATTGTCTGTCGCCATTCGCACACTTTCTTCGAAGCTGGCGAGCAGGTGCCCGTCAGCATTCGCGTTACACCGACACGCCAAGGCTCACTAACAAGTTTCGGGAACTGACATCTGACACTGCTGTAACCCGACTGGCTTGGCTGGTCATACATTGCACTAGTCGCTACCTTCGCCAAATACCGGAACCGGCATGCGGTGGGGCGTCTAGGTTGACAGAGAGAGTTGTCGGTGGCGTAGGGAAGGCTTCGCACACCAATTGATTCGAAGCACCGACATGTGTCACCCATCACAAGTATCACATCCAAGCAATACAAAAAAATATTATTATTGATGCAGTTCTATAGGCACTTCAGTTGATTACTTTAGAAGTTGCCTAAGTTGCATAGAGTGCATTTGAACAAGTGAAGTAAGGATTGCGCCAAGGCTTCAAAGAATATGTTGATATAGCGCAGGATATTTGGTGGATAGGATAAGGCTTTAGCCAAGTGTATAGAAAAGATAGTGAAGTATTGAAATGACCTAGATAATCATAATAAAAGAGAACAACATAATTAAGATAGAGATACAAGGAGTTTAAATAGTGTTGGGCTGAGAAAAGCCATTAGGATATTTTTCAAGGCTAAGACCTTTTGAGTAGGAATGTTGTAATTGCGGAAGCGTAATAATAAAGTTACTTGAACCACCTTGCACTAGTATGTGAGAGCAAGATAGATTGATTAAAACAAAGAGATACAGGAGTCTATATATTATTACAAGGAATACGAAGAGATGCGACCTTAACTGTTTTTGCTGTTGCGGTTCGATACAGTGACGACTGGGGTAACTGCTCAGTATCGAGTCAGTTATTTGTCCTTGATGTCGCGCTGTATTTTTCGTCGAGTCAAAGATCAGCGACCTTTGATCATAACCTCCAGCTGTTACGTTTGTTGACTCGCGTGTTGTTTCGCTGTAGTCTGCTCTGTTTCTGTGAAGAAAGAAAACAGGAATGAATGAACTATGAATGAGTTTGGTACAAATAAGAAACCTGTACCCCTTAGAGTTTACCCCACTACAGCCTACATGTGCTAAGGCATATATATCTGACACACCCCCATAGGCAAAGTGGGGGAGAACTAGGGGTCACAAGACCAGTCAAGCAAAGCAAAGCAAAGCAAGCTCAGGGTGGATCACAAAGTCACCACACAGTCTGAGCACAGGTTCAAAGGCCACAAGGCCAGTTCACATGCAAGTTCATATATAAAAGTAAACAAGCAAGTGCAGGTATATAGAGATCACAGTACAAGTAAAGTCAAGAGGTAAGCAAGTGAGGCCAAGTAGGCACAAGACCTAGCATAGTACAGAAACGCTGATGATCACAAGGCTGAAGTGCCTTGGTAAAGATATCAGCAGTGTTGGCCTGAGAGGTCACGTAAGCAAGGCGCAGCTGACCACGCTGCTGCAGCTCACGAGCAAGGAAGTAGCGAAGAGCAATGTGCTTCGTTCTGTGCTCCAGTCTGTGCTCCCGACACAAGGCCAGCATGGCCTTGTTGTCTACGTACAGAACTGGAGGAGAACGAGGCGGCTCTCCGAGGTCAGTCAGCAAGTAGGTGAGCCAGCGTAACTCCTGTGCAGCCATGGCCCCTGCGTAGATCTCAGCCTCACAGCTGGAGCTGAGAACAGAAGACGAGCGAGTAGAACGCCACGAAACAGAGCCGGAACCAAGGCTGAAGGTGTAACCCTGTGACGACCGCTGCGTAGCCAGGTCGTCAACCCAAGACGCGTCTGCGTGACCAGTGAGAACTACTGGACTCCGCCCTCCAAGCACTAGCCCCAAGCCTGAAGTACTGCACAAGTAGCGCAACACCCTCTTCGCTGCAGCCATGTGCTCTGGTCGGTGTCTCCCAGGAGCAACATAGCGTGCCAGGATGCTCAGAGGGTATGCTAGGTCAGGTCTGCGTCCATGGCTGCCTGCCACTGAGAGGAGTAAGGACCCTCTATCGCCTCTGCGTAAGAGCGCGGGGTCGGGATGTCTGGTGCATCCGGGTCTCCCTCAGGGGCAAGCAGCGTGGACACGAGGTGAGGTAAAGCAGCAGCAAAACACTGGAACTCCTCCTGTCGGTCCTCAAGGACGTCCGTGCTAAGAGCACACTCACCCCTGACGGACGGAGGACAGACAGACGCAGACTCAGCAACCAGACTAGTGGCGAAGTCGAGACGACAGTGAGCAGCAAAGTCGACAAGCTCGGTAACTAAGGCAGACGCAGCAGTGGACTCAAAGGAAGGGTCAGTGACAACAGTGGCGAGGAGACGCGTGACAGTAGGACTGACAGCACGAAGGGAGTCAGACGCCGGGTCAGCAAGGGCAGGAAGAGAGGACGCAGGAGGAGACGGCAAAGGGACACGCTGTGGCGCAGTGGAAGGACGCAGTGCCATCTGATGCGTGCCAGGGACAGCAGGAGGACGCGGACGTGGAACACGACGACTAGTGCGAGCAGTGCAAACAGGCGACGCAGGACGCGACTCAGGCTCACGACGCTCACCAAGACCTCCAGTAGGACCAGCGTAGGGAGAAGGAGCAGGTAGAGGGGAGGCCAGCTGTAACTGTGACTCTGACTGGACAGGCGGTGGACACTCTAAGGAAGGAGCAGGACCAGAAGAAGGCGGAAGACCAAGAACTTGCTCAAGGAGCGGAACGAAGTACGGCCGCGGCCGCGCAGCACCTCCAGAACCAGCAGGGACAACACCAGCACCCCCAGCGTCAGCTCCAACTCCAGCAGCACCACCAGCGCCAGTACCTCCAGCAGCTCCAGCTCCAGCAGGACCACCAGTAGACACACCCGCTCCGGCTCCAGTACCTCCAGGAGCACACACTCCAGCAGCACCACCAGCTCCAGCACCAGAAGCACCAGTAGGCCCAGCAGCTCCAGTGCCTCCAGTACGAGCACCTCCGGGACCCGTGGCTCCAGCACCCCCAGCAGAAGTAGAACCTCCAGTACCGGCTCCAGTAGCACCACCAGCTCCAGTACCTCCAGTAGCAGCAGAACCTCCAGCAGCGGCAGCACCTCCAGCTCGAGCAGCACGGCTCCAGCGGCGAGCAAACCACTCGCGCAGCTCCTGTGGAGAGGGAAGCTCCCGCCGGGACAACACACCCGAAGGACCGCCAGGTCCAGCACCGGCAGGCTCCACACCCCAACTCCCAGCAGCCCCAGGCTCAGCACCCCCAGAAGCAGCACCCCCAGGCTCCACACGCTCAGACTCAGCACCCCCAGACCCAGTACCCTCAGGCTCCGCACCCCCAGGCTCAGCACCCCCAGACGCAGCACCCCCAGGCTCAGTACCCCCAGACTCAGCACCCCCAGGCTCAGTACCCCCAGACTCAGCACCCCCAGGCTCAGCACCCCTAGACGCACCAGAGTCAGCAGCTACCTCGACAGGCTCGACTGCATCTACCTGGGACACACCGGAGGGGGCAGGACCCTGAGGGGGGAGGGGGTCTACCGGGGGGGGACCGGGCGCGAGGAAGAGCGGCGGGGGGGGAAGGGGGGCAGTGCGGTAGGGGAAGAGACGGTAGTACGGAACCGACTCGTCAAACGTGACGTCCTGGGAGGACAGAACACGACGCGAGGTGGGGTGGTAAAACTGCCAAACAGGCGCGTCAGGGGGAAAGCCGAGGAAGACGCAAGGAACAGCACGGGAGGACAGCTTGTCTGCAGACAAGTCTCGAACGAAGGCTCGAGATCCCCAGACACGGAACGCAGACGCATCACCAACCTTCCCCGTCCACCGCAGAGTAGGGGAGGTCTCCGGCAAGGAGACCCGGGGCTGAAGGTTGATCTGATGCACCGCGTACTGAACCGCGAACGGCCACAGAAAATGGGGAGCAGCCGCATGGACCATGGACGTACGAGCGACATCCATGACCATGCCAATGCGGCGCTCAGCAATCTCATTTTGCTGTGGAGAGGCCGGAAGCGTGA